ATAAAATGTGCTTCCCTGTGGCACAGCCTGTGAGGAACAGAGGGGGACAAACAGAGTGGTATTTGTGGTGAGCCTGGCCAGAATGGAACAGCAGGGGACAATCGGGAAATCACACACAACCTGGGAAGCTGCTGGAGGCTTTTGTCCAGGCAGGAGGGAAGGGCTAATGAGAAAAGTCCCTGGGGACCTCACACTGTTTTTTATCAAGGAATAATCAAGGTGATGTAGTCTTGATCTCAAGAAAACCTCACGCCTGTGCTTCCACTGAGAGCTTCTTAGATTAATCTGCTGAGACTTAGCATTAAGGCAAATGTCTGTCCCTATCAGCTTCATTGAGCACATCCACTCAGGACATGTCTTTAGAGAACACTAATCAATACTACCCAACTTAAGCCCTAGCATACCCTGGGACTCACTGACAGCCTGTGGTGGGTCCTTTGGTATTCTCTCCGGTGTTCATTTGGTCCTGAAAGAAGCCTGCAATTCACCTTTCTGAGTTCCTTTCTCCTTTCCTCCCAACATTTCCATGAAGGTAAAATACAGTTTAAGGGGACATCTTGGGTAGCCTTGAAGTGGTAGAGATAATTACCAAAAGAGGCCATGTAGCTTAAGTGATGTGTAGAGAAACAGGTAAGGGACCTTTGTTAGCAGTCCTTTTTTTTTTTTTTTTTGGTACTTGAGTGCCTCAATTCTTCTCTAGCAATATATAGCCCTCTCACCCTCATCTCCTGCCAGTTGTTTCCTCTTAAGTTGCATTTTTTTGGCTTTTAGGATTCATATGGGATCCTCCAAAGTACAAGGCCCAGGTTCCATACCTAATTTATCCCTGTAGACATCTCTAGTTCAATCTTATCAGTCAGGAGGAAGTATAGGGGTGGTCCATTAACACTCCCAGCATTTGAGTTCCACATAACTGAAAGTGACTAAAATGGCAATGGAGAGACACATGATGGGTGGAAGCATGCAGTAGCATATTACAAATGATGAACAATGCACCTGGGATGCTCTCCCACCCTACCTCCACCTCTTAGAATGCCTGGCTTCGTTCAAATGTTAGTTCAAGTGCTACCTTTTGCAAGGAGCCTTTCCCAGTTCCCTGCCAGCTAGTGACTCACCCTCTAAGGTTACCTTGCATCTACTCAGTAGGTATCTTGTATATATCTCATAATTTACATGCTTCTTCCACCTGTTAGAATGTAAGCTGCTGAAGGACAGGGACTTTTCTCTCTCTCTTTTTTTCTTAATGGCCCCAGGACTTTGTAGAAATCCTGGCACATAAAAAGTGCTTAAAAATGCTTGTTGATTGATTGATCAAAAGGACATGAAGGATTTGAAAAGGAAGTAGGCTAGTTGAGTATTGAGAGGAATGGATAGTGGATGGGGTAACTTGAGTGCTGTCAAAGAGTCAGAGGAAGGGCTCTAGCAAATTGGGTGGAATCTCAGTAAGTCCTTTATGAATACTGACCAGAATTATGTTAGATGGGAAGGTGTGCAGTGAGTACCCAGAACAGTGAGGGGGAAACAGTATGGTGAAAGACTATACCATGCAAGCATTAATTGAAGCCTTTGGGGATTATTCACCTAGAGAAGAGAATATTTGTCAGGAGGGTATAAAAGCAATCTTTAAATATTTGGTATAATGGCAGTCAAATGGAAAATAAATTAGAACTTATTATCCTTGGCTCAAGAGGACAAAACCACAAACTCATGAATGGAAGTTGCAGAGAGGTAGATTTAGGCTTAAGGTAAAGAAAAAAAAACCTTAATAAAAATGGAGTTTTTCAAAAGTAGATTAGGACAGATAGTGTGCTGGGCCTATAGTCAGGAAGGCTCATCTTCCTGAATTCAAATCTGGCCTCAGATACTTACTAGCCAGGTAAGTCACTTAACCTGGTTTGATTCAGTTTCTTCATCTGTAAAATGAGCTAGAGAAGGAAAAGGCAAACCAGTTTCTTTGCCAAGAAAATCCCAAATGGGGTCATGATTGAGTCAGACACAGCTGAAACAACGGAACAACAAAAAGTTGACTAGCCTGAATGGAGAGCTAGAGAATGTCTTATCACTGGAGCTATTTAAATGAAAGATGGATGCCCACCTCTTCAGGGGGAAGGGTGGAATGTCATACAGAGGATTGATGTTCAATTAGAGATAGGACTACATGACCTCTGAGGTCTTTCCTATCTCTGAGATTTTTTGAACTCTGAGAGTCACATAAAATATAGAGAGGGCTGGAATACAAATATGGCTCACATTTAATTACTGCCTTAATTTTCAAACTTTCTCTAGGTGTGGTTGTAAGGAGATATTTTTCCCCCCAATGATTCTGGTTTGTTGCATGCTAAGAGTTAGTATTAGTTTTATGTTAATTCTGTTTAAGACCAACACTTCAGGATTTGAAATTCTACCCTGGCTACTAACTTGTTTTTAAGTACATGGAGTTGTTAACCCTTTTGGTTTCATGGGCCCCCTTTGGCAGTCTGGTAAAGCCTATGGAATCCTGTGCAGACTGCTTTTTTTGAATGAATAAAATAAAATGCATAGTATTATAAAGGAAATGAGTTACATATTTGAATATAATTATCAACATTTTTTTTAAAGTTAATGGACCCAAGGTTAAGAATTCCTGGCCTACCCAGTCCTGTTCAAACAAAGGTTTCAGATGAAGCAAAAGATAAGAGATGCTAGAGTTGGAAAGAACATTAGTGGTCATCTTGTTCAGCTCCTTCAGGAAACAAAGATTTAGAAAGGAAAGATGACTTAGCCAATGACACGTGATTAGGAAACTTGGAATGGAGCCCAAGTATAAGATTCTTATACTTTATAATATTCCCAGAGATTTGTACTAATTCTCTACAGATAAATTAATCTTCCTTTATTTACACAAGTAGAAAAAAAATGTTTAGATGTAAACAGTTACTGGTTTCATCTGCGGAAAGAGCTCTTTTTTTTTTCCCCAGCCAAAGACAAGGTTTATTAGAACATTGTCACATTGGGCAGACTCTTAAGGAGTCTGAACATGGGTAAGCAGTGGCTAGATTGTAAGAATCTGACCAGTGGCTAGATTTTAGGAATCTAAGCAGTGGCTAGATTATAAGAATCCAAGGAGGGAGAGAGCTCTTGATCACAACCAACCTGCCTATGCCATAATTGACAAGTCCTAAAGAATTGCGGAATGGACATAGAGGTTAACTAACTTACCTGGGGTCAAGTAAGCAGGTAAGTGTCAGAGGTGGGATTTTAACCCAGGTTTTCTTGATTCCAAGACCAGTATTCTCTCTACCATCTGATTCTGCCTTAAAATTCACAGGAATATTCTGCTCTGGATTTTAAGTGTGTTTGTCTTTACTGGACTAAGAATACCACTCTAATTTAGCCTAAAATAAAATCCACGTGTAGATTTGAAAATGTGTGCAACATTCTCTATGTTTTTAATAATTACCCATGACTTTGTATGGAGGATCAATCTTTAGCTTGTCAAAAGTTGCTGTTATTAGAAATGTTGATTTTGGCTTTTAATCTTTCTGTTTCAGCTTCCTTTTATTTAAGGCTTGATCACCTTTCTTCAAACCAGCCAATTCATTACTTTGAGGAAATTCCTTAGAATGATACCATACTCATCAAATAGTTTTGTGACTGTATACACTAAAATAGTTTTACTTGGCTTATAGCAGAGTAGGAAAGCTTTCAGAAAATTTCCCAAGAGCCACATAAGTGAAAAAGAGCCTAATTTATGGGGTTTTGCAGCAGCAAATTATAAAATGTTTTGCTAGTCCACTTTTAAATTTTGGTTTAGGTAACTGACCAAACTGCAAAAATCAAAGCACTGAGAGGGGATACAAAGATTAATAATAACATGCTAGCATAGAACTTTGAGGTTTACAAAACACTTCATCAAGTCAACAGGCATTTATTAAGTACCTACTATGTGCCAGATATTGTGCTAAATAATGGAGACACACGGAAAGTTCATTTATTTATTTATTTGTTTTAGAAATAGCTCTTCCCCTCAAGGACCTCACAATCCCAGGAGACAACATGCAAATAATGATGTACCAACCAGACATACAGGGTAAAGTGAGAATAATCTCAGAGGTAAGGATTGATATTAAGGGAAACTCCAGAAAAGCTCTTGCAAAAGGTGGGATTTTTAGCTAATACTTGAAGGACACCAGCAAAGCCAGAAGGTAGAAGATGAGGAGGGAGAGAATTACAGACATGAGGGACAGCCAGTGAAAAGGCACAGCTTGGGGAGATGGACTCTAATTCTATAACCCTAAACCCAAGTCACTAGGTATATATGCTATCTTATAGTCTCTGTCCTTTTTTTTTTTTACATTGTTTTTATTTTTTAGGCAGTTGGGGTTAAGTGACTTGCCCAGGGTCACACAGCTAGTAAGTATCAAGTGCTTGGTCTGAGGTCAGGTTTGAACTCAGGTCCTCCTGACTCCAGGGCCAGTGGCCTATATACTGCACCACCTAGCTGCCACTGGAATCCATTCTTGGCAACCTAGTTGACACATGGTAGGCTTTCAGCAAGTACTTGCTGTATTATAGATTAATTTTTTTAATGAGGATGACAGGAAAGCATACCTTAGAACATTCCCCCTCCCCCACTGTCTGAGAAAAGATATTGGTGTGAGTAGTCTATAGTTATATTTTTTAAAAAAATTGTCATTCTATGGTTTTATAAAGAAAAGTGGTCATTTTAGGGAAACAAACTATTCCATTAAATATTAAAATACATTTTTATGAATATCTTTTGATTTTATATCACCTATTTTTTCCCTTTCCTGTCCTCCTTCTCAGAGATCCATCCCATCTGCCAAAAAAAATTTAAAAAAAGAACTAGTTCCATATAATTTTAATAAAATTACAAGTCTCAAATATGAATTTTTTTTAAAGGCCCCTATCTGGCACAGTGGATAGAGCATTGGGCTTGGAGGCAGGAAGGCTTGAGTTCAAATGTAGCTTAGAACACTGACTAGCTGGGTGATCCCAGCAAATCGCTTAACTTCTGTCTGCCTCAGTTTTCCCATCTGTAAAACTGGGAGATAATAATGATATGCAGAGTTGTGATGACTGAATGAGATAATGTTTGTAAAGTTGTTAGCACTGTGACAGGTATATAGTAGGCACTGAATAAATGCTCATTTCTTTCCTTCCTTCAAGAGAGAAAAACAATAAAAGAAAATATTACCATTAACCTTAACTTTGGTTGATTATCTGTTTTTTGGGTTGTCTTTGACTTAGTGTATTTACCCAGTGATGTGTAACTTAATGAGTCAGAGATGTGAGGCCCATATACCTGCTCTGCATTTAATAGCTATGTGACCTTGTACAAATCATGAGACCTTAGTTTCCTGTCTGCAAAATGGCAAGGGGTGTGTTGGTCCAGATGTCATCTAGGGTCAGTTTCAGCTTCAAATCCTATGAACCTAAGTTAATGACCTCTGTGTTCTTAGCAATGAATAGACATTTAGAAAGGCCACGTGATGGCTCTTATGAGGCATGGGGGAGATTACAGCAGGCAGCGGTTCTTGTACAGGAGAGGACTGGAAGAAGCAAGGTTGAAATAATTGGTTTATTTACATGCATACTGTCCTTGGATCATGGTTTTGTTAGGTGCTGACTCTTGGTTTCTAATATAAGCAGCCCCTGGCATACATTTCATGTGTCAGAACTCTGTATTTTTCAGAAAGGCACTGTGAGTTGTAGGGATACTCTGTCAAGCAGCTCCTGTGGATTTCTCCTTACCCTCTTTCTTTTTCCTCCTTTCTCCTCCTCATCTAGCTTCCTAGGAAGGCAATCTCCTTCGTCCTAACCCTGCTTCTTACCTCGCCTCAGTTCCAGTTGACACTGGGATACTGAGGTCTGTCATTTATAAAACAGGTGATGTTAAAATTGGATTAATGACTCATAGAAATATTAATAATGGCTCGCATTTATCAAAACCATTAAAGTTCACAAAGCACTTTTCTCAGAACTGCTTTGGGAGTAGTTATTGCATTATTCCCATCATTTAATTTTTTTTTGACTGAACCTATGATATCATCAGAACAGAGAAACTCCCTGTACAACTGCAAATCAGAAACTGTTAAGCAACTTAGGAATCTTAGAGAGTTACTTGGAGGCCATTGGTGAGGAAACTGAAGCTCAGACAAAGGTCAGGTGACTTGCCCATGGCCCCACAGGGAGGAACTCTCACAGCAGGGAGAGGGGTGATAAACCTCAAGTAGCTCCTCTCCCCCCACCGCAACTCATTCTCTGTCCGGTCCTACACATCCTTCCACCTGCCAACTCTCTCATGCCTCCTGGCTTGTCTTTGCCTCCGAAACAGTGACCTTTCCTAACTCCTGTTGACAACAGTAACCAACAGTGGCTCAGAGCTGAGGAAATCCCCATTCTCACTACCTGGACATTTGGTTGGCTGGAAAACAGACATTCTTGTTCAAAGGAGGCCACAGAAAGTGATATGTTTGCTGGGAATAATAATAATAATAATAATTTTAATTCTTCAGAGATTGATAATTTCAGTAGTATTCTGTGTGCAAATGTAGATGGTAGCACCTTAGGAACTTAATCAGTAGCCTTCAAGAATTGGCATATCTTATATACATCACTGTCCTGGAGACAAGCTGGTGCTTACCCTCTTGTAATTCAGCAAGGCCAGTTCTTGCACAAAAGGCTTATAATACACCTCTGGGTTCATAAACAAAAGTTTTCCGTTGTGTTGGGTCTTCCAGGAGTTTATGTTGTACAGTTATCTCTTCCATATTGTGAGGATTAGGGAGATGGCACTCCTGCAATCTGGAAAATGTGCATAAAAATTTTTGGCCCTCCTTTCATATCAGAGAAGTCTGAATTATTATGGTATTAAAAGATAAAATGTTATATAATACATGTATTTTATCCATTTCTGTGTCTCTAAGCCTTTCCTGTTTTATTTACTGGTCTTTGCATGTCATCTGTGACTTCTGCAAAACTCCCCCAAATTCCCATTTAATTTCTTTTGCCAACCTGCAAAACTGCAGTGGGAAAAGTTGCAGTGTGCAAGGGATAACTGTACTAGCATGGACTTTGAGAAACCAGACAAGTAGGGGTAAGAGGAAAAATAAGGATTCATAGAGATAAGGACAACAGATAAGCAGAATGACTTCATGGATGAAAGAAAGCCTTAGAATCAGGTAGCTTTGAGTTCAGATCCTCCTATGACACTGGGTATATGACCCTGGGTAAGTCATGTAATGTCTCAGTAATGATCTAGGCATACCTCTTGAGTCTTTAAACTTAAGAGAAAATGCTGATTTACATGAGAAGAGAGCTTCCTTACTTGGTGTTCCATATGCTAATGAAACCATTGGTCCAGAACAATAAAAACTGTGATAGTAATATCACCAGTTCTTATAGCATATGAAATTTAAGAAAGGACTTGCCTCAAAATAACCTAATGTTTTAAGTACTGTCGGTATTCCTATTTCTGTTTTACAGATGAGGCTTAGAGAGCTTAAAGTCACCTTTGAACCACGGTGGAGTATCAGAGGAGTGCATTAGTGGAGCACTGAATGTTGTAATCAGGGTTTCTGTGCTGTAGTTTTCAGGGTTATGTTCATGTAGATAAGACTAAAGTCAAGGGAGAGTTGGTGCGTGATTTTTTGCTTGCAAATGATTGTGCACTCAGTGCAACCTCTGAGGCTGAGATGCAACAAAGTATGGATTGATTCTCTGCTGCTTGTGCTAATTTGGCCTTATAATTAATAGCAAGAAAACACAGGTGCTCCATCAGCCAGCACTGTACAATCCATACACGGAACCATTGGTTATAGCAAATGAAGACATTTTGAATGCTGTGGATAAGTTCATTTCCCTTGGCAGTGTGCTTCAGGGATGTACACATAGATGATGAGGTTGACACATGTATTGCCAGAGCTAGCTCAGTGTTTGGGAAGCTCTGAAGGAAAGTGTGGTAGGGAAGAGGTATTAGACTGACTACCAGACCAAAGGTCTACAGAGCCTTTGTGCTGACCTCGTTGTTGTATGCCTATGAAACCTGGATAGTATACCAGTACCATGCCAGGAAACTGAATCACTTCTACTTGAATCGCCTTAGGAAGATTCTAAAGATTACCTGGCAAGATAAGGTACCAGACACTGAGGTCCTTTCTTGAGCAAAACTGCCAAGTATTCAAACTCTGCTGCAGAGAGTGCAACTTTTATGGGCTGGCCACATTGTTCGAATGCCAAATGTATGCTTGCCTAAAAAGACTATTTTATGGAGAACTCACATAAGGTAAATACTCACATGGAGGGCAGAAGAAGCGACACAAGGACACTCTCAAGGTCTCTCTGAAGAACTCTGAAATCAGTTGTGAGACTTGGGAGACACTGGCATAGGCTGTCCAGAATGGCACGCCCCCAGCAAAGAAGGTTCTGTGCTCTGTGAGCAAAGCAGAATTACAGCAGTTCAAAAGAAGCGTGAGATATGCACATTTAGAGACATTGCCATTCCAAACGTTCATATGGACTATTTGTACCTGACCTGTGGTAGAACCTTGGAGCTCATATTGGTCTGATCAGCCACGCTCAGATATACTGTACCTTGACCCTGACTAGAGATATTATTTTGGTCCTCTTTGAGAACGAAGGACAAACCGCCATCATGCAGCCCTAATAAGATGAAGTTGAATGGGCATGAATGTCTTACACTTTGGTTCCAGAAACATCAACATCAAAAATACAAGATGAAGGAGATGTAGCTACATAGAGGTTTTTCTGAAGAAAAGACCTGAAGTCTTATAGACACAACCTCAATATGAACCATTATTGCAAACTAGCAGCCAGCAAAGGTAATGTGATCTTAGATTGTATTAAAAGAGGCATAGCATTCAGGACTTCAGAGATGATTGTCCTATTGTACTGTGCCCTAGTTTGCCTTTATTTGTCCATGTTTTGCCATTCCAGGTGAATCTAAGAGCTGAATTCCAGGCAAATTGAAGGAACTAGGTATTTATAGCCTGGCAAAAAATAGATTGAAGAGGTTTTGGTACCTGGCTAGATTTGGACTTGATCCTTGAGGACAGAATTATTGCAAAGGGACAAATTTAGGCTTAATATCAGCAAAATGGCCTAACCATTTGTCATCCAAAAGTAAAAAAGCTTCCTTGAGAGATGATGCATTTCCTCTCACTGGTAGTCTTCATGCAAAAGCTGAGTGAATGCTTGTCAGATATCTTGAATATTCTCATTCAATTACAAGGTGAACCAAGTAGATGCCATCGTCCTTTGAGCTTGAAGATTCTATGATTTATAGTACTTTGGCTCTGTACAGACTTACCCATGCTTTGTGCATGTCCATTAGTCAATAAACATTTATCAAGCACCTACTATGTACCAGGCACAGTAATAAGGTCCTTGGAATTGATGATCCTTGGGGTCCTTTTTTGTTTCTAACATTATTTGATTGTAGAAAAAAAGCAAAAAGAGTGTGGACCACATAGGCTAAAAATGCCTTGAGACAATAATGGGTCCCTAAAAAAATTTCTGGGGATATAAAAAAGACAGTCCCTGACTTCAAGGATTTCTAAACTAATGGGAGAGACAATGAGCAAACAAATATATACAAATAAGCTGTATACAGGATAAATAATAAATAATTAAAATAGGAAAGGCACTAGAATTAAGAGGGGTTGGGAAAGGCTTCCTTTAAAAGATGAGATTTTAGTTGGGACTTAAAGGAAAACAGGGAAGGCAGTAGGAGGAGATGAGAAGAGAGAGCATTCCAGCCATGGAGGACAGCCAGAGAAAATTCCTAGAGCTGAGAGATGTAGTGTCTATTCCTGGAACATCAAGGAGACTCCTGTTTTTGGACTGAAGAGTACATGATGGGGAATAAGATTTAAGAAGACTAGAGAACATTTTTGGAGTGAGGAGGCTAGGTTTATGAAGGGCTTTTAATGCCAAACAGGATTTTCTATTTGATCCAGGAAGCTGTAGAAAGTCACTGGAGTTTATTAAGTAGGGGGTGACAAAGTCAGGCCATAAGAGTTTGTGTATGGGGGTGTTTAATAAATGCTTGTTTCCAACTACCTTTCCATTTCCCTACCTCTCAGTCTCAGACAACAAAGAGCCTAACTGAAAGTTGTAGTAACTAACCACAGACCTAATCTAGGCAGCTGAGTGGTCCCTGTGATAGGCTGACTTTTTTTTTTTTTTTTGGTAATCAGAGACTATCGTGCTAGAGCTTTAGAATAAATCTGCTTTTCACACATGTACCCAAGGCTTCATTCTAGGGATCAGATTTTACACTTACAGATTAAAATGGCAGTTTGATAGTATGTACTACTAAGCTGCAAATTTACTTTCTTGGTCAGTTTAGAAAACTTGGTTTAGGGGCTAGCTTCAGGCCTGGTTTGTGTCAATACCAGGCCTTGGAACACAACTGGAAATAGATTCGACTTTGAAAGGTTAGCTCATAGAGCAGGTATATGGCCATACAATCGATAAATTAATCAGTAATCATTTATTAAACACTAATTTCATTTCACTTCAAGTAAACAATTTGGTGGTGGTGGTAGTGGTGATGATGGGGTGTGTGTGTGTGTGTGTGTGTGTGTGTGTGTGTGTGTGTGTGTGTGTGTTTATTTGTTTTGTTTTTCTGGCGATGTCTTCAGTATGTCCAAAATGGATGGTGCTGGCTGTTTTCGTTGTTCCACCCTTGGCTAATTTTTTTAGGGACCCATTATTGTCTCAAGGCAACCATTTTTAGCCTATATGGTCTACTCTTTTTGCTTTTTTTCTAGAATCAAATAATGTTAGAGAGAAAAAAGACCCCAGGGATCATCTATTCCAAGGACCTTATTTTGATGAAGAGAAAATTGTGGTGCTGAGATGCTGATTGGCATGTCAGTGGTCATATGACTACTCAGTGACAAGGCTAAGGCTGGTAAAACCACCTCCAGTGTTCTTTTTACTATCTGATGCTGCCTCCCTAGGACTTTGAAAATCATTTTGTTTAAATATTGCTTACTTCTAGATAAGTATTTCTTAAGAACATAAAATATACCGTAAATCATGGGTGAGAGACCATTAAAGATTCTCAGTCCTGCTTCTCTCTGGCCAGATGGCCAGAAGATTCTTTCTGTGCTGCCTTGATACTGATAAACCAAATCTCTAGAGGCCAATTAGTTGTCACTCAGGTTTGGAACTCCCACCCTGGAGCTGGCCTATCCCTATTGGTGAGAACCCATACAGCCTTTGGAAAACTGTGTTGTCTCCCCAATTAGAACATTAACTGCAGATGGACAGAAGCCATCTCTGTTGTATTTGTATCACTAGACCTTATGTAGTGCTTAATTAAGTGATTCAATAACAATAGTCATTAAAAATCATTTGAGGGTATTAGAGAGGGTTATGTCTTAGGAGTCATCCAAAAAGGCTTTAGTATTAACATATTTGAAGGACCTCATTCTCTGCCAATAAAATGTAAGCTCCCTGAGGGCAAGGACTTTTATTTTCTTTCTTTTTGTATTCCCAGTACATAGCAGAGTGTCTGACATAGGTAAGCACTTAACAAGTGCTTGCTGATTGATTGATTATAATTCTTTTTTACCTAAGAGATAATTTCATGGTAAAGTCTCAGGAGACAGCTGTAGGCAAACTTTAGTACTTAATTTTTGGAAACTGTTGCAGATTTATTTATTTATTTGAACCAAAATAGACAGAAACTTTTTATCAAAACTTGAATTTCTAAATTGACTTGTCAGCGTACAAGATAGACAACCCTAACGACTGGTTCTTGTCCTCATTTGCAGAAGTATGGAATATTGCACACGCTGTCAGATGTGGTCAATATATTATTTGGTTTTGCTGAAATGCATTTCTTTTTTCTTTTGCATACTTCGTTATGCTCTGGGTGAAGGTGATATAAAAACAAAGACTATAAATAAAATAGATTTTTCTGAACAAAATTCCAAACACAGTGGTTCAGAGTAAGCCTGATATGATGGATAGAATGTTGGACTTGTAATCAGCAGTTCTGGGTTTGATTTTTGGCTCTAACACATGGTAACATGGTGACTTCAGACATATTTTTCCTCTCTAGGCCACAGTTTGCGTCTCAGTAACATGAAAGGGATGGAATAGCTGATCTCCCAAAAAGGTCCTTCCCACTCTGCCCTACAGTGATTTTATAATATCTTATAGAGGGTCAAACGTGGAAGGAACAGATGGCAGAGTGCTGGTGGAATCAGTGGAGTCTCAGACATTCTTTGTCTGTCTGTCTGGAGGGCAACAGGGAGGGGAACATAATTTTACCATGGTGATTGCAAATTTACACCTCTTCTTTAATGTCAGGCTCTCTGAAACAGAGAGAGAGAGAGAGAGAGAGAGAGAGAGAGAGAGAGAGAGAGAGAGAGAGAGAGAGAGAGAGAGAGAGAGAGAGAGAGAGAGAGAGAGAGAAAAGAAAAAGAAAGCCGACTTCATTGCCCAGAAAGTAGACGGCTGGTTTGGTTCACTGCAAAAACCCTCTTCCTAATGTTCTGAGTGTTTAATCAGATCACATTAGAATCTCTAAATCTAAAAATCCCACGGTTCAAATGGGTTGAGCCAACCCTCTTAGGAAGTGAGAATTCCTTTCTTTGCCAGTGGCTAACTCTTTCATTTCAAGACACCATACTCCTAAGCTATTAGCCTGGTCCTTTGATGTCCCCCACACTAGCCCCCTGCCTGTTGTGGAAAACTTCAAATAAACATGCCAGAATATTGTTTTAAATTTGCATTGTGCTTTCCATTCCCTTTCTGTCTCCAAAATGTAATTTTAACCTTGCCCTTAAGCTCTGGAATACTGCAAGGATTACATCATAGTTGAAAAGTGAGTTCCATTTCTTTTGAGATATTCTTTTAGTTGTTTTTTTTTCTTCCCCCTTAGATTAATTAATTTCCTAAAGACAAAGCATATGACACATAAAAAAAATAGAAGCCTACTGTTGTCCTTTTAGTTAGGGCTCTGATAAGCTTGTCATTTTGCCAAATGATACCTTAAGGTCAGAGAACAAGAGCCAATAAACCTGTGAGCAAAGACAGACAGCACCTAGAAATGAGATCTTCTCAAGGCCAAGAGGTGGTGGACTTCTTGCCTCTTGAAACTGACTCCCAAATCATGCCTCAACTTGTGGCAAATAAAAGAAGAGATGTCCAATTCACAGTCCCCAAACTTCTGTATACTACCTTAAAGGGAAAAAAAATGCCCCGTACCTATCTCACTGGCCTTTTCTATACTGAAATGCAGAGCCAAACAAACACTTTTAAATGTCAAGAAGGCAGCTTACCCCTTCTTGGAGTGTTTGCTTGAGATATTCGAGATGTTGGGTGATAGGAGAAGAGAAGCAAGAACTCTGCTTCAGAAATCAGTAAAAATCCCCAAAGCTTTTTGGGAAGTGGGGATTGTGTTTTTTTCATCTGTTTGTTTTTCTTTTCACTGAAGAGCACCCAAGTTAATTAAACCTCAATTAAGCCACAATGAAGATCTAAATCTTGTTCCTTCCTGATTCATGAACAAATTAACTTGTTGTGGTTGGTTCTGATCTCAAATTGCCCAAAGTAGGAGAGCATTTTATATGTTGCTTTACATATGATAAACTAAAAACACATTAGTACGTTTAAAAAATTTGTTTTGGCTTAATTAATTATAGTTATGCTTATATATATATTTTGTTTTCTGTTTTTAGTTATTCTAAGTTTACTGAATGTTTTTAAATGATTAACCTTACCACTGCTCAGGAGCAGAAAGAAGAGAGTCATGTAGCAGTAGCGGAATGATAATAGATATACCTTAGAGCTAACTCATACCCCTTGGTTTGCAAGTGCTGATTGTTAAAATTTCACTGTGAGTGCTTACACCCTGGACATCAGCAAACACTACATACAGATCAGGGCTTGATTTATTTTGCTGATGATTGTCTCTAGAATTAAGAAAGCAATGAAGACAATGTTAATGATACAGATTAAACTTAAACATGTGTCCTGCTTATAACTTTTTTTAGAGAGCCAATTGTTAAACATTTACCAAAATACCCCTGCAAATAGAACTAAAGAATGCCATACTGGTATTTATGTAATATTTAAAGACCTGAAATAAAGCCTCTAGCCTATTGTGAATATTACCAGTTGAAGACATACGGAAATATAGAAATCACGCAAAATAGAACTCTATGGGCAATGGGCTAAGTGTAGGTAGAAGTAACATACAGGAAATTAAGGATTCATCGAAATAGGGAAGCAACTTTGTTTCTTCGGTGGAAAGAGCAATGGTTTTTGAGTCAGAGGCCCTGGGTTCATGTCTTATTTCTGATACTCCATAGACTCTGATACTCTTGAGCAAGTAATTTATTCCCCTTCATCTTCTGTTTCCTCTTGTATGAAATCATTTTGTTGAACTTAATGTCCTTGAAGTTTTCTTCAAGCTCTAGATCTATGATCTTGACCTAGTCTGTGCTACCAATGTAATATACTTGAAAGGCCTACAGTCACTGAACCATAGCATATTAGAAATGAAAAGGACCTTAGAGTTCATCTAATCCCACCCGCTCATTTTACAGAGGAGGGAACCAAGACCTAGGGAGACCCAGGAACAAAGTCACAGTGGATAACTGACAAATATGGAACAGGAACCCAGGACCAGCAGGCAGGTAGGTAGTACAGTTGACAGAGTACTGACCCTGGAGTGAGAAGGACCTGATTTCACATCAGGCTGTGTGACCTTGGGCAAGTCACTTAATCCAGATTGCCTCCAACAACAACAACAAAAAGAGTAAAAGAACCCAGGGCCAGGATGTTAATATATTGTTTGCTTTGTATCGATACATTTTGACCTCCGAATGAATTTTTGGATAATCATTGCCAGAACTATAACTAGGTTGGGGTGATCAGGGCTTTTTCCAGGGTGCCCAAACTTACAGGGTCCTAAGAGTACTTCAGGAGATAGAATCATTTCAGCTTAGTTCTTGCTGTGGTTTGTCCTTTGTTTTTGAAGAGGACCAATGATATCACAAGGAGATGTCTTGACTTGTGTGTGGATTGAAGTAAGGCAGCCTAATGAGCAAGAATGGTTACTTAAAATAAGAGGTGATTAAATCATGTTCTTCCCTTTCAACTGATTATTCTTACCTCCTGTTCTTCCTTTCCTCCCTCTAGATGCGCCCATTCTCTTCTCTCAGCAGCAATGTTCCCAGCACTTACGATCTCAGGTTTCTTCCCAAGGGTCTTTTTTCCCTTCCTTGTCCCAGTCGTTGTTGCTCTGAGCACTGGTAGACCAGATGTACACTTCTCATTTTTCTTAGATGATAGAATGCATTGAAATCAGTGCTCACTTTGCAATCAGAGGAACTGAATTCAAGTCTTGCTTTGGATTATTTACTCCATGTATAACTCTGAGCAGTGTCACTTAACCTCCACAACTCTCATTTTCCTCATCTGTACAATGAGAGTTGTATTAAATGGTCTCTGAGAAACCTTCCAACTTGAGATTTGTTCTCCCATTTATCCTCTCAAATGTCCTAAGTCCTTCTTCTCTGATCTATTTTGATCTGTATAGACTAAGAAAAAATGATGTGGAAATGGCATAAACCTCTTAATCTTTTGCCAAAAACTAAAATAGAGTATGTCTCCTAGAATTAAGTGTAAATTTGAACAAAACCAAATAGTCATTAAAATTATCAAGCATATATAATACACATATATGTATATATATCCATATTCACACACACATACACACACACACACACACACACATACACACCCACCCCTATGTGGACTAAAAGTCAGTGCAGTTTTAAGCTTTAATGGTTTAATATACTTTTATATATTTTACATATATAAAGCTTATATATATATATATATATGTATATATAAACTGTTAATAATGATTAATACATCATGTTAAAGCCTAAATTTTAAAACTTTAATCATTTATATATGCTCATATGTATATACACATACATATGTCTGTATATACATAGACACATTAACATATATCTGTATCTATATATCTTCACACACACAGATCATGACACTAAATGACACTCACGGATTTACAATTCGGAATGTCTGCTGCTTCCTAAATGTTCACCAGGGCAATTTCACTCAAAAATACTCTCCTATTGTGGAAGTACTTTGTTAACTAAGCACTTCCTTCACAACAGCCCTGTAGGGTAGGCCTTATGGATATTATCATTCCCATTTTACATGAAAGGAGACTAAGGTTCAGAGAGATAAAATAACTCACCTAGTGTCATGCAGCTAGTAAGTAGTGGAGCAGGCACTTGAACCCGGTCAGCATTCCTGACTCCATTTCCAAGTGTTTTTCATTACATCACACTGCCTTTAGTTTGGATTTTTTTTTCTTTCTTTTTTTCTTTCACTACCCACACTCTTGTTTGTGATTAGATATGAAATCTGTCTCCTAGAAAATAGATAAGCACAACAAGAACGGCAATGACGACAACAAAAATGCCAAATCTTGAAGCGGAATTGAGTAAAAGAAGTCATACATACTAGCAATCTGGAAAGTGGATGGGGGTGCAGGGGGAGGTAAATCCTGCTCACTAATCACTATGAAAGGTTTTTTTTCCCTTCCATTGTTGTTGTTTTTAACCTGATTCAGTAACTAAAAAGCACCTCCCACTAAGCCTAACCGTCACGTAATCTGGGGCTGATCCCATCTCCAGACAATTGTGGTGTGCAACATTACACCTCCCCCAATGCCAGGATAGAAAATTTGGCCCACCCCAATGACACACCACTAATTAAGCAGAGCGGGCATGTGTTGAGAGAACAATGATGTCGACATCCAGCACACAGGGGAGGGAGCTTCAAATCACAGTCAACAGCAGTCCCACAACTCGTCACTCTTAAAGAGAAATGTGCCCCACATGCCTTTTGAATGGGCAGGTGTCTATTTGCTCTCCTAATAACTGTTCTCAGTTAGATTTCTTCTTTCTGCACCTTGGCTGATGGAATATGCCGCCCTTGTCGGCATAATTTCAGGGGTGGTGCTCACAGGCAACAGATCTAGACAAAGGCTTTTCATTTTCTCCTTGCCAGAGGTGAAAAAGCCTCTCTAATGCAACTTCTAACCAAATAGAACAGCACATCTTTGGCTGGTTCGACCCACCTAAGAGCAAAAGACAATGACTGCTTTGGCAATGGTGTCCTGATTCATTGTGGGGTGACTGTCTCTATCATCAGGGACACTAGCAAGAACACAGCTTTTTTTTTTTTGACAGGGAAGAAGAGGTAACTGTTATTCAAGCTGTTCTTTAAAATCTTTTGGTAAGCACTTATGACCTAAGATAATTAGATAAACAAGCAGCTGGTAGGCGTATTTGCCATACATAGGGGCGTACAGGGTAAGTGAAAGGACAAGCTATAGATGAATCACTTAGTACTCCAGACTTGGGAGTGAATAGACTGTTCTAGGAAAGGAAGTGTGGAAAAGACCATGGGCTGGACAGTCTGGGTAAGAATATCACCTCTGTTACTTATTTATTACCTTTATGACCTTGGGCAAGTGATTGACTTCTCTGGGCCTAAGATTGTCTAGTGTGTAAAATGAAGAGGTTTGACCACATGGGGTGTCCTTAACCTTTGTTATATGTGTATCAGGGGACCCCTCTGGTAGTCTGGTGAAGCCTATACACAGACCACTTCACATGTTTTTACATGCATAAAATAAAACACAGAGCATTATAAAGAGAATCAATTATATTGAAATAGTTATAAAACACAAAGTTCATGATCTCCAGGTTTCGAAGGCCTGGACTAGATGATCTTTGGAGTCACTTTCAACTCTACATTTTAAGATCAATTTAATAGAAAAGGTGCATGGTATGTGTGTAGCAGGATATGAAGGGGGGAGGAGAAAAAAAACTATTAAGTAGTTGACTGAGAGGTGGCTTGGTAAAGTTAAGAGAAAACGGGGCTTGGAGTCAGAAGACCTGAATTCAAATCTCTGAAATATCCTGACTGTAGGACCCTGGGTATTTCACTTAACATAGCAGTGCCCCAGGCAACCTTCTAGACTTATAACCCTCCATTAGGGAATTTCCCCACTGGGAATTCCCTGTACCAATGGACTAACATAACCAGGCACCTATACCCTCCTTCTTCTTCCCCTTTTCCCCCACATAGTTGAGGGGGTAAGCATCCAAACATTGGTTATATATTTTTGTTGAACTGCTCAGAAGAGAAGGGATTTGGAATACCAATCTCTTCTAAGACTGAAATCTCAAGATTGCCTGCTTTTTATTTTTATTTGATTATTGAATGAATGTTGATTACTGCCACAGATTTGTGTAAATCCCATTGGAGGAGTTTCTCATGCAGATGAAGGGCAGCATGTGGCTGTAAGTTATTAAAAAAATAGATTAAACAGCAATGTAAAAACACATGAATAATAGTGTGTACAAGGGCCTTGAGGCTATAAAGTTTTTCTTTCACTTATTGATTCATTTACTCAACAAGCATTTATTACAGGCCTACTATGTACAAACTTTTGTACTGAGCACTGGAGAGAAACAAAAATAGCTAAGGTATGTTTTTTGCTTTCAAGGAGCTTAATTATCATGACAGAAACACACAAATAACTATAATACGAAATGGAGCCTAAGTCCATACAAGAAGCATGGATCATCAAAATTAGAGCTGGAAGAATATTTAGTGATCATGTAATTCAACCTTTCATTTTATGGATTAAAAAAAAAAGACTGGGTGCCAGAGACAGAAAGTGACTTGACCAAGCCTTCACATTTAATGAGAAGCAGAATCAGGATTTGAATATAGGTCCTTTGACTTTATATCTAGTGATCCTTTTGCTATACCATGTCATTTAGCCTGGGCCATGAAGAAAGGTAAAAATAGGGGAGGGTATCACAAACAGAGAAACAGTGAAAGCGAAATTATGGAGTTGTGAATTTTTAAAAAATCAAAATTGACAAAAAAGTAAATGAGAAACTTTAATCCAAAACTAGTGCTTTATAGAGCATGCAACTGCTGAGAATGTCCTGTTCATTTATTATTACACACAAGCCTGGCCTGGTATGGTAGATGTGACAACATACAATGAATTCTACAATGTGATTTTAAAGAATTTTTTTTTAATCTGTTGGTCTCATACTTTGAGTATTAAGGAAATATATCATGTTATAATTCAAATTAATTATTTTCAACTGTGTTGACATTTGTTTGTATATTTATATTTTAGTTCCATTCATCCTCAATTCTTTCTTGTATCTGACTTCTTATATCCAATAATTTTTATCTAAAATATATTTATTTTTATTCTGAACTTAACAGACACTAAATAAAATGAGTATTTCCACATAAAAGGTAGAACAAAAAAAGTAAATATAGATTCACTTGGTGTAAGAAAATATTATAAATTAGAGGGATTGGGAAAAGCTTTGTGTAGGAAGTGGCACACTCAGCATGGTATGGCAAAAGGACCACTAGATATGAAGTCAGAGGACCTATATTCAAATTCTGGTTCTGCTTGAATTTACTTCTTTCTTCCATTCTCAATCTTTCTTCTAGTTTTAAGATAAACATCTATTAAGTGCCTAAGAGGTATTGTGTGGCATACAAAAAATGAACAAAAAACTAAAAAACCCATCCCTAACTTAAAGGAACTTATATTCTACTGGGAAGAGGCTCCTCGAAGTTAGGGTGTTTTTTTTTCTTCCTTGCATCCTACACAATACCTGATAGACACTTGATAAATTTAGTTGAGTTGAATAAATTGTAAAATAATTTTGGCCATATAACGATATAAAGGTAAGACTCCATTCATTGTCCCACCCACTTAAATGTAATTATATTTGTTAAGAAAACTTCTTGATTACAACTGTCAGAACCAAGTGTGAACAGGACCTGTATACCAACTTGAATGAATCAAAGCTGTTATGTGAGATACTTGGGTATGCCCTAAGGAAGGAGCTGTCTTAGAACTAGAGGAAAGATTGAGAGTAGAAGAAATAACTAGATTCAAATTTCATGTTCCAGCATATTTCTGATCCTTGAAGGAAGCTAGGAATACTAAGAGGAAAAGATGGGGAGAGAGTTTACTGTAGATACATAGGGAAGCTTGTACAAGGCCACAGACACAGAAGATAGTATTTTGGATTTGGGATACAGCTTGTGGGCTAGTTTGGCTAGGATGTGCATGAAAATGAGTAACATCAAATGTGTAGATAGGTGGTAGACACAAAAGACTGCTGACTTTGTACTTTATCCTAAAGACAATAATGAGTCAATAAAGATTCTTGAGAAATGGAATGGCATGCTTAGACTAGTGGCTTAGCAATATTTACTTGACAGCTACTTATGAAGAATGAGTCGGAAAGGGGAGAGAATAGAAGCAGAAAAAACTTATAAGGAGGCTATTTCAATAGTCTAGGAAAGAAGTAATAGAGGTCTGAACTATGCCGGTAGCTGCTTGAGTGGAAGGCAAGGGTCCGGTGGCCTAGAGGCAGAAATGAAAAGATTGGAAAATAATTAGATTATTCATTCATCATATTTGTATACCCAGTGCCCGTCACAGGGCCTTGCAAGTACTAGATGCTTAACAAATGCTTGTTGATCGGTTGATTTGATCTCTATTCCTTTTCTACGAAAAGATTGGTTGTTACTTCAGTTCTCTCTTCTAGTGCCTGTCTATGTACACACACTATAAAATATGTGCAGTTTTACACCCAGTCTTTTCATGTAAAATAAATTTTGCCTCAACCGGGAAATAGGCCAGAGGTTAAGTAGATTGAGCAACTAAGTGGCTTGGTGGATGGATCACCAAGCCTGGAATCAGGAAGGCTAATTTTCCTGAGTTCAAATCTGGTATGTGATCCTAGGCAAGTCACTTAACTCAGTTTGCCTCAGTTTCCTCATTTGTAAAATGAGCTGGAGAAAGATACTACCACTGTAGTATCTTTCCCAAAAAACCCCAAATGGGGTCACAAAGAGTCAGATGTGACTGAAAACAACTAAACAGCCACAACAACAACAAAATAACTAGAGATAGATATAAATGTACAATTAAGCAGAAATTCCAACCTTGGTCCAAATGGTAGGAATTATCCTAATTTGGGGCCCATAGCAATTATGAAGGAACTCATAACATTTTGTCTAAAATAAACTCCCTAAAGCTGGAGAAGAATCAATTACGTGTGAGCCTTAGGGGACATAACACGCCGTAGTCTTAAAATGAGCTAATTTTTGTTATAGGGAATTACAACAGTAATGTACTTACCTTTATTTATGAAGATTATGCTTTCAAACAAACACTAATCAATAAACATGTGCTTTAGTTCATTTTCTAGTAGTGTGATTTTGTACTAATTCAACCCCTCTCAGTCCTAACCAACTCCTCACTCCCTTTCCCCCTTTTAATTATGCCCCAAGGAGATGGCTGGCAAGTATGTGTGTATGCTGCTCACATTTGTACAACATAACGATTTCTGATGCATTCTTCTGGTTTAAGTTAAATGATACTATTTTTTATTCTACTTTTACAGATGAAGAATCTAAGGCTGGAAGAGATTAAGGAGGTCACAAACTGGTATTAGAATCAAGATTCAAAACC